TTGACCATTATACTCCCAACTTTAATAAAAAATACAATACCCGTAATAGGTGTTAATAGCAAAATCTGTTTTGTCATCAATTTCCAATCCCCCTTGACAAAGTGAAGTCCCCCTAAATTTTTACACCAAAGGGGGACAATCCCCCCTCATGGTTTCATCCTAGACGAAACACTGTACCGGTACATTATATTTACTCGGTAGATTTACTATCAAATTTTAAAACACATAAAATAAGGAACAAACCTGAACACAACAGTGCCATACAGCAGCAAAATCTACAATTCACCAACACTTAATAAAGACGAATTACACAAGCGCAGCTTGACAGTCTTGTAGGACACAGTCCGGGTGTACAGGTGGAACTCGGCAAGCTTGACTAAAATCAAGAGAAACAAGTAATTGTCAATGTCATAGTACCTGTTTGCATTCTGAGATAGTGTGAGAAATTACATGAATAATTTGCATAGGAAAGACATGTCAGTGTTACGGTGATTGAACAACATAAAACAATATGGTGTCCAATCAGGGATTAAGAATCCAATCAAGAAACAAAATTACATGCTTCAAGCTCTATGATGTTCATTATACAGACAAAGTTTGATTCAATCAATTAATAATAACTGAAATTCATTTCCAGAATATATGACCTGAAGTGAACTTGACCTGACCAGACATGTCTGAAATGTGATCTGTAACTTGATTCTTTGAAATGGCAGTTAGTTGACATATTAAACTGGATCCAAAAAATAAAATCAAGGTGCCATTGTGCTCAATGTACGTACCAAGTTTAAACCAAATCTGCCCAAACACAACTGAGATTTTGTCAGTCATTTTGAAAATGTTTGTACTAAGTTGGAATGAAACACATGACAAAAATATTGTTCCACAAAGGCTGTAAATGCTTGAATTTTTTCATTAAAATGGGTACCATTCGGCCATTTAAATTGTCATAATGTCAATGAATACATGAGCATATGTGTGACATGATGCATGATGTATATATCAAGTTTAAAAATGATCTGTCAAAGCATCTGAAAGATATGGCCATTGCTAAATAAAAATGACTGCAAGTTGATCATTTTGAGCCCAATCTTAGAAACAAAATGACATTCATTAAGGTCCCATAATTTCTGTTATTTGTACTTTGTCCATACACAACCGAGATATGGCTTCAGATTGGCAAAAATGCTTGAAGAATTTTCATCATTAAAATGACCACTACTTGGCCATCTTGAAGATAAATCATGAAAACGAGTGCAGATATCAGCCAATATATGTGATTTGTGAAGGTATGTCAGAGACACAAGTGGAGACGCACAGAGTGACACATGCTGTGGATTAAAAACTGCAAAATCAAAATTTTCTCTTTAATAAGCTACAAATAATGAAAGCAAGCATGGCAAGCTAAGTCATTTTATAAATATTGCTGTGTATTTAAGTTAATTGACAATTTGGAATGCCTGAAAAACATTTCGAGGGTACAACATTACCCCCAGCCCCCTTATTCAGTTGTATATGCCCTTCTAGATGACTAGAGGCCTATACAATTTGTAAGATGGTAAGGAGGGTAGGGGGTCAGGTTAGAGTTAGGATTAGGGCTTTCTGATGGACAGAATGACCTACATACTCTAAAATTTAGTTAAAATGTTGCCAATGTGTTTATGTAGTCATAAATATATTGAAAATATAAATATATTGTTTTTAAAGAACATTGTTCCTAAATGCTAATGGAATACACAAAGAATTTGTGAACCATACATACAAATGTATACGACATCAGATTTATGAAACTTATAAGTTTAATAAATTAGGTAGCTTCCCACTGTGTTAGCCTTGTATACAAATTATAATGTGAAAGTGCTTTATGGTGGTGTTTGAGTGGTCATGCAGCCAGCTAAAGTATGGCTAACCCAGACCATGTCAGTATTTTCACATTTGCATCATACATTAGGTTCACACATTAAAGCCTCACATTTATCGCTTTCACGGTAACTATTGTTTGCATCGAGGTGGCGCATTATCATTCCATCACACAATTTGCATTTCAAATTGTAGGTACCGCAGTGTTGACCCTAAAACTACCAGGGAAAAACACAGACATCGCTGCCTAACTTTTATGATTGTCAATGTATATACCTGATCATTTCTTTAAAAGAAAAATTACCAATCAATCTATTCAATACCGACTCTAGAGTAGTAAAAAGCGCAACGAAAATAAGAAATGTGAGGGTGTCCAAATGGGTGATACAAATGGAAAAAATTGAAGATGCGACTGCGATAGCTGGGCGATGTGAATGTGATGAATGCTTGAATGTTGGGCAGTGTGCTGTTTTGTGTTGCTTGTGAGAGGTAGAATAGAGATGATGTGGGTAGGGGAGGGGCAGTTATGCAGAACAGTAATTAATAGACCAAAAAGCAATGTTCATGATATGAAAGAGACATATGTTAAATTATAGCAATATAAACCCTAGAGTGAAAATCACACACAATTTTTAGCTTTATTATTTATTAATTATTATTATTTTTACCATTTTAAATTTCTGAAAGTGAAAAAACATCAAGAAACGAATCAATGAAAGAACAACAAAAATATTAATTTATCAGCGAGTGAAGTATTTTTATATGAATGGTACTAAATATGTAGAACCTTGTTAGGTACAGTATATATTTAAATGGTATAATAACCGGTATAGTGTGTCGGCCTTGGCCTCACAAAAACAATCGAACACAACACTTTTGTTCCACGACCACGACGCATAAAAATAGCAATATTTCAGTTTATTTAAACAAAAAATATAGAAATTAAATCAAGCATTGCTATCACCATTCATCGAAAAACATTCTACAAGATCATTTCAAGGCAAAGTAAATACTATATTTTTTAATTCATTTGCAGCAAGAGAGCAAATTTGGGTCAGTTTCCATGCCTGCTGTCACTGTGAATATATCAATATAGGCATCCGTTGATACATCTACACTTTCTCACGCTGGAAAGAAGTACTAATCTTGCGTTTTCCAGCTTGTAGGCCACTAGTAAATGATTCCTACATGTAATCGTCGACGTGCCGAACAATAGCAAGTGTCTATAAAACTCACCTTGTTGAAATACCATCAGAAATCGGTAAATTTCACAACCAAAACATGACAAGAAGCTTTCCATACAATCCTCCCAGCGAACAGCGCAACAACATGGAGCGAAATGCACAGGAAGTGGTGACGTACTACGCAGGGAGAAACCATTTTTACCAGAAAAGGTGCATTAGCCACAAAAGTCACCGATCCCATGTTTTACAGCAAAGGTATATGTTTGGGAGAAAATAGTAAGCTGTTTTCCGTTTTAAGACTTGAAATCTGCAGTCAAACGAATATAACATCTGCAACTGTAAACGGAATAACTGTTTATTGCAAGTGATCTGTAACTACATAGAGTCTACGACAGACGACGAAACGGAAGTTGCAATACGTCAACTATAAAGTTCATGTCCAATATTTCTCAGAGGCTCAATATGTTAGATGAGAGATTCTTATAATGGGTAAGTATTCAGTGGACTATGTTATTCTTTTGTCTTTCATGCTTTGACATGTTTTTTTTGACCGCGCTCTTTGCGCGCGCCGTTGTCAAGAAGCGGACTAAATAGTCTGGTAAACTTCTAATTTTGAAAATTAATGTGTCTATGTTGTAAAAGGGTGACAGCAAATAGGTAAATGTTTCGGACAAACTTTACACTCAACAACCCCTATTTTAACACACGTATACTTTTTTGAATTATTTGAATTTACTTCCGGGTAAAGTTTTTAGTGAATTCATGCCCCTGGAACTGTCTGTGTAGACAGTATTGATATGCAAATCGCATTGAAGTTGGGATGTTTCACACAAGTAGCTAAAAAAAAGTGATTTTTTTCTCACACCAGGGAGAATTGAAAAATTATGATGCAGTTTTAATTTTTTGTCTCTTTTTGTATCATTGTTAATATTATTCAATACTATGCATTTCACAAAGACATGAATTTGTTGTATTATATATACTTAATATGTTTTTGAAATGCACTTCGCGATGGACATCGTTCGCTGTCAGTAATATTTACGAAAATTTGTGTTCACTATTTTATAAACTGGCTTGGCCTGCCTCCACCACCAATTAGACAATGTCACAACATTTCGGCTATTTTTTCAATAAATCCAAAATCATTGAAGTTTTGATAATTTTAATGGGTATACATATTTTAATACATACATGTATTAAAAACAAAAATACCCATAAAAAAAACGAATTAAGTATATAGCGTAGACAAAAAAAACAAACATTTTTTTTCCTTGCCATAATAATGGAGCTAAACAGGGTGATTTCAATCAAACTTTATATGGTGATCATGCATATTGGGTTATAAGTGCATCTCACTTTTTTTTTGAGATTCGGTACAAGATGGTCGACTCACAGCCATTTTGTTTTTGTTTTTTTGTGCTGATTCCTCTGAAAGATATGGCCTGATTCAGTTCAAAGTTTGTTCATGGGTAAGGTAACACAACAACATGCTTTCAATCAATCAATCAATCAATCATTTATTTCTCACAATAAAATAGAAAAAAAATACAATACTACAGAAAATTTTGTGGCATGTGAAGGAAATTAACTAGAAGCTAAAAGCTTTTATTGTTAACACCTCAATTTGTGGCAATAATAAAAGTATACTGAAATCAATTAAACAATTAAACAATAGTAACATATGTTTTGTTCCATATACAAAATATAGCACTTAAAAATATAAATAAAGAACATACAAAATAAAATTAACAATATGAAATAAGTAAATATTAATTATTTTAAACATTATATTTTATATCAATAGCTAGCAGTGAGGGATTTCTTATATTTATATTTTATCAGTTGTAAGTTGTTTAAGTTTCTTAACTCAGTAGGCATGTTATTCAAAAGTTTCATTCCATGTCTTTTGATATTAAAGTCAGATTTTTGAGATTTATGATAGAAGAAATGAATTTGATTTTTTTGGCGAGTGTTGTGATTGTGAATTGTTCTATTAGTATGAAAGAAATTTGTGAAAGAAGTTTGGAGAAGATTTTTGCAGTACTGGTACATAAACTGTGCTGTTTGTATTTTATTAATGTCAAAGGTAATCTTGAGATTTGATCAAATTTGTTGAAATGGTGGCCATTATTTGTCAAAAAAAAACATAAAATCACATGTCCGACCCTGTTTTTGGAGCTGAATAGGGCGATATGGCCTGATTCAGTTCAAAGTTGAATAGGGCATTTTCAATCAAACTTTGTATGATGACCTTGCATATTAGGTTAGGGTGCAAGCAATATTTCTTTTGGAGTTACTTACAATACAACAATACCCGACTGACTACGTTTTTCTTTCATGCTATTTCCTCTGTAAGATATAGTCCAATTTAGTTCAAAGTTTCCACGTAAGTGCTATACTGACAGTAACACAATCTATAATCTGTGTTAGTGTTAAAAAAACATTGATCTTTCATTTCTACATGTTACTTGTACTGAAAAATTTACAACGTATACAGCTAATACTAAACAGGAACTATGCAAATCAATGCTTGTTTTTTATAAATCTTGTATTCACTGACATTTTGTATTTACATTGACCATGAGGTCCACAGTAACTTATTCTTACTGATTTGACTATTGTGTAGTGTACTCAGCAGTTGATTTTTGTTTTGTCGATTATTGCCAGTTGTTTGTTTTGTGTTCTTGGAATTTTGTACAAAAATCAACAACGGTTAAATAGGTATAGACAGTACTTTGTGTACTTTGTTCTCCAGCATAAATATTGGACTGTTCAGAAGTATAAGATTGTAATGTAAATTTCATTCATTAATGCTGTGTGATGACGCTATCTCTGGGGCCTTCAGAATCCCATGTTGATTATGTTCCGGCCAGTTTACTAACAGTCAGTGTCTGACTGATATATACAAAAAGCGACCAAGAACACATCAGAATAGTAAAAACAAGAAAGGTAAAAGTCAGTTGCCCATGCCAAGAGAGCCGCAGAACCAAAACAATCTGTCAGCCGTCGCCGTCCACAGCAGCGATATGATTTTACACATAGAAATTGAGAATCGCAAGTGTAGACATATTGCATAGAAATGAACACGATTAAAATAAAGCTATCCATGCCAGCAATTGTGATCGAATCATCAATCTTCATGAGTGATGTAACTGATATTTCCATCCATTTGCCTCTATTCCCCCTATCCTAAAAAGCCCAAGTGAATGTTGCCAAATTTATGAGTGTGCGTATTTTCGTACAGTGTCGTAAACATTGCTACAATCAAAGACGCACTGAACAGAAAGTCCATTTTGGGTTACCGGTAGTACCATTGTCAATTTTTGGAGAGAAGAGGACTATTTATATAGGGGACGCTCCAGTACGAAATTGTTAAAATTGCTTGATTGGCATATCAAAATCCTGTACTGAAGCAGAACATTTTCTATATTCGCTAAAAAAATAACGTTGTTATGTTTCTAGATTCACAATGAACTTGAAACAAAAGAAACAGTCCAATTCAAACAACCTGCATCCTTGAAAATCGAGTCTTATCGCCCTTGCATTTCTGAGCGAAAATACGTTAATGCCAAAAATGACCGGTTTTCACCAAATCTTCTATGATTTTTTGATAATCGGTTAGTGAGTCACCCGGGAAACCAAGATTGGCGATGTAAATCATTCCGGCGACAAAATATCAGTGATAATAGCCAAGGGGGTGAGGGACTTAAATTCAAAAACATATTTTATATATAGGGTATAATACCATTTGATTGAATTCATGTTCTTAAAAAAAAAATATATATTTGGCCTTCATATTTTTTTGTTTAATTTGGATCACACAGTTAATTTGTATGTTGAGAAACATGGGAAACTTGTTTTTTGTTAGGTTAATATAAAAATATTCTGCTCAAAAAATGCATTTTTATCTGCTAATCAACAAATTTGAATAATTCCTTATTGAAACAATTCCTGTGTATAGATCAACTCTCCAAAATTGGCAATGATACAGTCTCCAGAGGAAGGACTTTCTGTCAAGCATGTTTTGATTGTAGCAATTTTCACACTTCAATAAGTGTAAGTGTGAGTTCCACCAATGATCAACGATTCAATACCTGTCGGAGATAGTAGTATTTAATGTGCATTTTGAACTCAGAAGTAACTGTCTGCACTTTGGGTTTTCAATATCAGTGTGTAAAATCGTACTGACTTTCAGCTTTCTTCTTACTAATTTGACATTTTTGGTTGCATTTTGTATATACCAGTCAGACCAAAGGCGGTAGGCATAAGTGTAAGATAAGCCAGGATGGATGACAATTTTTAAATGTTGACGATTTATTTGAATAATGACAATAAAATACATTTACTTTGAATAACTATGTCTAAATGTACCTTATATATGTACACAATTCTGACTGTACCATTCGCTTATATTATTTAATTCCACATTTGATTTGAAACGCATTGTATCCTTTGAGCCGTAAGTTATGAATTAGCGGCATAAGAAGTATTGAACAGCGCCACCACTGACCATTTTTTCGTTTTGGCTCGTGTGCACATTTCTCGTGGGATTTCCTGTTTCCTTGGTTTCGGCCATATTTAGTAAAACTATAATATAGACGGGGTATGACACAGTGTGTTCCTTTTTCGGACACACCGCGTACCAGACTTCTCGTTCAAGAACATTATTTATGGTGTTCGTAGTTGACGGTCGAGTGCCAAATAACCACATCATCATTATTTTAGCGTAATATTGTACATAATTTTTAATTGATGGTTTTGATTTTTTTTATGAATACAGAAGTAAACCAAATTGTTCATGTACATATTAAAAACTTTGTTTGATCGAGCCTATTTTTTGAGTTATCGCACCCGGACGCCGACAGTACAAATATTGTACAAAATCATACTCACCCGGGAAGTTGGTTGTTCACAACGCACCAGTAGCTGCAGTATTGCGAGGGTATATCGTGGTTTTAGTGCCGGTAAGATTATTTCGCCCGTGATCGAACTAGATTTAAATATGCATAGAACGGCAGCTATGCTTCTAGTGAGCGCGATGCATCTAAAGTGACTGCACAACAGCGATTATTAAAGTTTCTGCATTTCACAGCAAACGTTCGATGTTGAGCCCAGATTAGTGAATTATGTTTT